TTTTACAGGGAGGAAGGGAGAGGGATAGAGAGTTAGAAACATCGATGAGAGAGAAATATTGATCAGCTGCCTCCTGCACACCTCCTACTGGGGATGTGCCCACAGCCAAGGTACATGCCCTTGACCAGAATCAAACCTGGGACCTTTCAGTCCACAGGCCGATGCTCTATCCACTGAGCGAAACCAGTTAGGGCTCAATGAGAACTTTTTAAGACACAGAAGTCAGTGCAACATTAAATAGATAGGCCGGATAAAAAAGAAATGGCAGTTTTGCTTCTTGAAAGTTTATTGCTCTCCTAGAGTCTCTGCTATTGTTCAGTTTTCTTTAACAGAACTATCGCACAATTCTTAACTTCCTGCAGCAAGCAGGTGTTTCCCTAGGATTATGCCTGTGCACACACTTCTTCAGTTCTGCTGGGGAACATGAAAGTGGCTTTAAAATCTTTAGGTTCCTGTGAGACTTTCTTACATCTTGCATATTTGGTTTCCTTGAAGGGCGAAATGCTTGATGAGACTACTTGATGTTTGGACATGAGGAGAAACCAGCATTTTCAGAGTGACTGCTCTATGCCAGACGTTTTACATTCAGCATTTCATGGAATCCATAGGAAATGATATGTGAGAGGAAGCAGACACAGCCTGGAGGAGAGCCAACTCTCTCAACGTCTCACCACCCACAGCCTTTTGCAATATGATTATAAAGAGTAAGACTGGAGTTGGAGGAACCTGATGTGCATTTGGTGAACTCTGAGCCAGTTACTTGGGATACGGAGATTAATTTTGTAAGTTTCCGCTCTTACAGCAAGGCAATCTGATGGGAAGAAACAGGCTTACATGCAACTTGCTGTAGGGTATTATTATATGTGATATGACAGAATGAAGCTTTCAATATATACACCAGGCCATGTTGTGCCTCTGCTTAACATTCTCTACCTGCTCCTCATTTCAATCTGAGTAAAACACAAGCTCCACACAATGATCTACTCTGGGTCTCCCATCCCCTCACCATTCCTGCACCCATTGTAACAACCTTGAACTCCTTGCTGTCCTGTTAGCAAGCCAGCCCACCCCATCCAGGGGCCATGCGTTCGCTGTCCCCCAGCTTCCTCCCTCTTCTCTTTCATGTCTTCGCCCAAAGGGCACCTTTTCCACAAGCCCTCCTATGCCACACCCGCCCTGCACTTTGAGTCCCACTATCCTATTCTGCATTCATTTCCTCCTTATAGGAAAGGCTGCAAACCTTATAGGAATCACTGTCATCTAAAAACTATGCAATTGACTTATTTACTGTGCTGATTTTCTGAGTCCCTACCACTGATTCTAGAATCGTTCTTGGAGGTCAGGGTCCTATTTTTTTACTATTTCATACCAAGCAGATACATTAGCTCATGACATACAGCAAACACACAATAAACACCTAGAGAAGGAAGGGAAGAATGGAGGGGTAACCTACAGACTGTTAGATACTGGAACAGGGTAGCTGAGAAGAATGCTGAGAGCAAGGAGAGGAGTAGCTATACAAGGACTCCTATTACTTCCCGGAAAGGCCTTGGCGTTCTTGGGAAGAATCTTATATTCTCTCTCCTCCAGCCAAGCCCACAAACTCATCCTAAAGCCTATGGAGAATGACTTTAAAAGATTTTAGTTAGGGAAATACAAGAGAATGAATATTTTATGACAATTTTTGTGACCCAGTTTTATTCAAACTGATACAATGGGGCAATGTAGGCTGTGCACATATTGCCAGAGCCTGGCATAGAGCCTGGTGTTGATAACTGAAACGATGATTATGTCGAATAAACTAGATTTTTAAAAATTGAAATTAGGATCATTGAACATTTGTGATATTGCTTTGAAATTGCATTCCAATTTGATTTATGAATGAGAGAAAATCACTGAGATTGAAAAATCACTTGCTTTAGAATTACACCTTCTCTTCAAGACCAAGCAATGCAATGTTTTTCTGTTGATTATTGACCTTATTAAGTTGGTCTGGTATCTACTGCCATAATTTGAAATTTACTAGCCCATTTTGGGACTTTATGACTACAGGATATTCTGAAAATTAATCTAGCCTTGAAGTAATGAGCTTTAGCACCTGTCAGAATATTGAAAAGAATGAGTCACAGGACTCTGCAAAACCACTGGAATTAAGGGATTCTCAAGACAATCCTATGAAGGAGATCTTACTGGAATTTTCAAGGTATAAAGCTAACTGCTGAGTGAAAATATGGGCTTACATGTTCAGCATTTCTCTGGCAATTTGGAAGTCACAGGTCCTATAAGTCAATAAAACACACCTCTCATCCTGCAGCACACGAAAGCTGAAATAAACAGAACTCAGATAGTCACCAACAGCCTCACTCCTATGAATTGGGTGAATTAGATTTCAGTATTTAGATTAGATCCTACACACTTGCCAGGTAAATGAGTAATGCCAATAACCTTTGCCTCCAACTTATCACCTTGAACATTCACATTTATAGATGCCTTCAAACTATAACCCTGATGACTTCAAATACAGAGTTCTGGTATCTTTACAACTTAGATATACTTTCTGATTAAACTTCAAAGCAGACTTTTAATGTGAAGCCCAATCTTGTCAGTTTAGAGTTTCTACCGTTTTACTCCACAGCAGTTAGTGGAAGATAGAATAGACTCTCACAAGGAGGGACACCCTCAACATGGAAACTGATACACTGCCACATAGCTTGTCTGCATTTATACACCTCTTAATAGGTTCAAACTCTAGATTCATTTGATTGAAGTGAATATGTGTGTGTGTGTGTGTGTGTGTGTGTGTAATAAAGCCTAGACTTTGGGTGGTGGGCACATGGTGCAATATACAGATCTTGTGACATAGATACCCACACTTAAAACCTATATGTTCATGTTGACCAATGTCACCCCAATTTAATGAATAAATAAATAAATAAAACCTATGAAACACTTTCTCCTAGAATGATCAGATTTCAATCCAGTCAAGATTCTGTTCCTATTCTCACTATTGCTGCCTCAAATTGGGGCATGACAGCTTGTCTAAATGTGATGAGCTTGAGTTTCCAAGTCTCTAAAAATGTAAATAGTAATAAAGCCCTTTTGGGGAGATTAAACATGAGGATGTATATAAAACAGATTATTTGTGGGTGCTCAATAAATGGTAACTATTACTTTTATAAGAAAGCTTTAATTTTGCAGCTAGTTATTGCATAGCTATGTGTGAACAGGTTTACAAGATACTCACAGTTTAGGTATAACAAAGGTGATAAGTTGGAGGCAAAGGTTATTGGCATTACTCATTTACCTGGCAGGTGGGTAAGTTGAAGTTAACTTAGCTTGCCTTTTATATTGATATTTCCATTTTCATGATGCTCATCTATATGGAAATTACAGATTTTTTAAAGTTGACTCAGTGTTTACAACTCAAATCACAGGGGTCTCAGATATTTATGAGAAAAGTAGAACTTTATGGTTTTTCTAGGTACAGTTCTAGGAACTGGTAAAAGCTAAGTCCATAGCTGTCATAGGTTAATTTGAGTATAAAAATGTGCCTTATTTCTGAATGTGGCTTCTTCCACTAAGAAGTATGGCTGGATATCAGGATTAAAAATGGCTGTATCTCACTTGTTTATTTCAAAAAATTAAATAACAATTTTTTATTCTCCGAAAAAAGCATAAAATTATTCTTTGGGGTTACTCATATAAAGAAAAAGGGACAGGCCTATCTTCTCAGTAAATCTTTTATTTGCCACTCCCTTTTATCCACAAATTCTATAGCTCAGCATTACCATGTAAAAGTTACAAAGCAACGATGGACAAGAGTTTTGCTTGAAGAACACAATCATTTTTTAAATATATTGCTGTGCAATAAGTTAATAATAGAAATGCACTGAGACTTGTCAGGTTTTGTTTCATGTATATCCATGTTTCCTAAAGTAGGCCTCTCATAGTGACTATACTATGCCATTCTAATTCGCCCTGCCTCCTCTCTGTCAGCAGACATTTATTGGGGGCCATGTGGATGGCAAGAAGCTGCTGATTAAGATGAAAATGATCCTGCCCCCAAGTAACTTTCAGTTTAGTTGGAAAGACACATGGATAGAATAATGACAATAAACTGGTGACAAAGATGTTTGGTTGTTATAGGAGCTAGTGGTGGGTCAGATAGCATATGTACCAGCCAATAAATGCAGAAAGGATGAAATCAATCTAGCCAGCTGAAGGGATTGCTTTTGGAGCTGTGGGTTCTTCATTCCAAGATCAAGGGATTAAAAGGGCCTTATGCTGCTAAAAATAAGTTCAAAATAGCTTAAAACAAGATACAATACATCTTCTAGGTTGATAGAATATATCTTGAATTCTAAAGTTATCAAAACAAAAATACCTACCTAGCTATATACCTATCCATCCATCTATCCATCCATCCACCAATCCATCTATGGATCGAGCACAACATTTACACTCTTTGTGAAAAAAAAATTCAGATTAGTAGCTATTTCTAATGTCTACTAACCTGGAGCTGGTTTGAATGGCAGCTAATGAATCTATGCACTGGAACTATAAGAATAAGTATATACCTTAAAGGAACAACTAAGGGTCCATTTCAAAAAACTTGACAAAGTGTAACTATTCCTGAATGATCGCAATTATCTTCAGAATAGTTCTACATACTTGTTTATGCATTGGCATTATGTTTCTTTATATGAGTCACCCCAAAGATTAATTTTATGCTTTTTTAGGAGAATAAAAATTATTTCAGGTGCACACACAAAAGCAGAATGTATGCCATATTTATATCTCATATAGACACAGAAATAGTTAAGGACACACATTCACATACCCATATAGATAAATATATAGAGTGTAAATATAGCATGAGCAACTCACAGATATTCCTAAAGAACACATGTTTACAACTCAGTGTTATTCCATAATGGTATTTTATTATTCATTTCCTTCACTCACAGCACCAAAGGCATCTTTAGGAAGTTGTGGGGCATGTCGCAGGAAGGCAGGAGGGGTCACGGTGTCTTCCTCACAGCTCTGCTCCAGGACTGTACCCTTGGGCCCCACCAATCAACACAGCAGAGGGCCCCATTCTCACACATACCTGGCTGAAGCTCTGGCCAGCACCTCGGGCTTGTGTGCTGCGGGCAGGGAGCGATGGGGCTGTCTCGCCCAGGGCCAGGGTCTGGTTGCTATGGTAGCTGGCTGGATACTGGAAGGACCCTTCAGGTTTGGAATTGAGCTGAAGTGCACTCTGGGAGAGCAGGCTGGGCCCTGCATTGAAAGTCATTTAGAGCAGTAAGTGACAGCCTCAGTGAAGCAGAAATGACATGTATTATTTATTGAGAGTAGCCTAGAATTATCACACACATGATTCCAGCCATCTATGCTTTGAATTCTGAGAACTAAAATGACCATATAATTTGACTCCAGCTCTTAAATGAGATTTTTTTTTTGAGGTTGAGAGTTCTCAAATGAGTAATTTTTTTTTTTCCAAATGATCTCATCCTGACCTACATAGACATATTTCTTATGAGACACATTAGTTAATCAAGTAGTTATTTTTGGATCAGACAATATCAGAAACATTTAAAAGTCCACCTATTAATACATATTAATTGCATTAATATAATTATATCTCCTACTTAATTATCAGGCTGCTAAAACCCTCAAAACCTTCCAATCAGAAACATAATTTTATAGTGACGTAATACCTCAACCCCTGAAGGGTTGACAGTGCTTAAAATATTAATAGCTCTCCTACAATGTAGAATTCGCTCTTTCTCAGAGGATTTCTGATGGATAGTAATCTTTGCCATCACATCTGTGCACAGCAGGAGAACAAAGACAGGACACAGTGCTACAAATGGTGATGTTAACATGGCTGACAGTGCAAGTGATGGAGCAGTGGGAAGAAGTTCTGGCTTCATCCTTAAATTATACTTTGCAAAATAAACTGTTTTATTTTCTTGCATTTCATGTAGATGGGATCCTTGCAATAGTTTGTTCATGTTCTTTTTAAGCAAAATTTCTTTAATCAAATTTCATATTTACTTAGGGAATTAAAAATGAAGTATAGAGGAGTGGAAGCGTACTTGTCAATTTCCATCGTGTATGTTTGAAAAGGGATTGGAGTAAGTAGAGTGAGTTGGGAGGAGGAGGATTTGGCAACACAAATTTTCTCATGTTATGTTAACCATAGAGCAAGCTACTTCTTTTTGGATGGAAGGAAATTACATACACACAGACTAAGACATAATTGCTATCTCATCCTTTATCTCTCTCTCTCTCTGGCTGTTTTAGACAATAGAGTCTTTTCTAATAAGTGTGAGCAAATTTCAAGATCTTTATTTCTTTCTTTTAAAGAATATAACGTAACTTTATATTTCAACCAAGACTGCAAATTTGATGTGGCATAAGCCTTATTTTTATCAAATAATGTGGGCTCTTTAAAAACCATTGGTTCATGTAATTTTTACCATCTAAGACCCTCCCACCCCCTCTGATACTCCAATGGACATTCTGAACAATGTAAAAATATTTTTTCATCATTGGATATTAAATAATAAGCCAGTTAACTAACATGGTAAAGACTTGGTATTTTGGGATCTGTACAATTCCTGGAAAAAAAGTCAAGGAAGAAAATAAAAACATTTCCATCCAACCCAATTTCATCATGAAGAGCATAACAAAAGTACAATTGTAATCCATTTTCTTTTAATTTAGAAAATAGAGTCCCAAGAAAACAGCATACACCAGATGGCAAAGTTTGCAATAGCCAGCAAAAAAATCATTTAATCCATACTGATGGTATTATAGGCCCAACACCAGCTATATAATGTCTCTATGGGGAGTGCATATTCTGAGTGTTTCATTCTGGACTCCAGGAACCTACTGCCCCCACTGCTGATGTGGAAACTGCCAAAAAAGGAGATGGAGCCAACAAGTGGTCTTTGAGGCACGGGGAGGGCAGGCTGAGATATGGGACAGCTTCTGGAAGGGAAGGGAGATCACAGCTGGGAAGGGAAAGGGGGACCATTGGTGGGGGCAGGGGTGGATGGGGACTGACTACCGGGAAGAGGAGGTACAGTAAGGACTGGGAGATGGTGATGAATTCTGCCCAAGGGTTTTCTCCTTGGTCCCTACCTTCGTGAAAGCCACAACCCAATGGGAGAGAGTAAGCTATGGTGGAAGAGCCAAAGCCCTTTAAGGCTAGTGGTCACTGACAGCAAGTACCTTCCCACTAGACTTTCTTGGGCTATTTCTCTGCCCAAGCCCTGCCACGTCTCCTGCCCCAAGATAAAGCATCTCCAGGGCAGTGAAAACTGAAACAGATACAACAGTGCACAGACCTTTGAAAATGTCAATAAAATGGAATAAAATAAAATATTTATTCTCATATCAATAGTTTAACACAATCTATAGAGCAGAAGAGTTGCATGTCCTGGTTATTTGCCTTTCAAAAAAAAACATCTGATTTTACACTGATGAACTTTATTATAGATATAGTTAGCAAGCGAAACAATTTATAAATTCTGAATAGATTTATAAAATTAGCTCCAGAAACCTACAAATGCTTTCCTTGTAGGATCTTAAGGTGACAATTGAAAATCCTTTTCAAAAGGTATTTCAGTTAAAAATATGATTTAAGTGCTCCTGAAATATACATCATGAAATAATCAGATTTGTTCATCTTTTATACAATCAGCCATGTATTCGATCAATACTCAATGAAAACAAACCAAAATTCTCCATCTCATTACTTTGTTCACACATCTCCAGCATAAAACGTCAATGTGCTCTGACAAAGGTAATTGAAGTAATGAACAATATATCATAATATTACAACAGTGACATATCATCTGTCAAGGACGAAAGAGTCAGGACAACAGGCAAAAATTTTAGAACGATTTTACCATCGCTCACTAGGTTTCAAATCAACAGCATTATTCATTCCAATTTAGAAAGAACAGCTACATGAGAATATGGAAAAAGGTACTATGATAGAACAAGTCATAATTACTTTATTATACAAGCAAAATTTACATATAACTAACACTTGATTAGCTTTACCAACATTACTGTTCATCGAAGTAGAAAATACCAATTTTCCGTAGATTTCAAAAGCATTTATTGCTTTTAGCTGTAAATCATGATTTTTTTCCCCCTCTAAAACTTAAGGGTTTCCATCAAGTCTTGCTTTTGGGCTAGTGGTAAAATTAGGCTGCAGTCTTGAGGACGCAATGTATCTGCAAGGTGATGGGGCAATGCAAGAACACTTAGGGTGGGAGGAGAGAAAGAGACCTAGACTTGAAACTCCAACCAGGGAAATAGAATCTTGACTTCATTGCACTTAATTGCTCCAGAAGAAACTTCAACTATGAGGAACAGGGGGGGTCACAATGTCCTCTGAGATAACAGAAAGCAGAGGGCACACTCAAGTATGTACACCTCCAGGACATTGACTTGGTCACAGTGATGTCTTGGACCTTTCTGCACCTTGCTCCTCATGGGACAAAGCTGAACTCAATATCTACTCAAGATAACTCAGCCCAGGGGCCAGGAAGAGGAATTGAAACCATTTTTTAATAAACTGATAAAACTCCAGAGAGCATGTGTCCTTGATCTGATCAAGACACACTAGTCCCAACTGGACAGAAGGGAGAAATTCTATGGGTGCTAAAGAGATGAGGGTCATGGGATCTTCCAATGATCCTAGAAAGACACCTGGGGCAAAGCTGGAGTGAAACAATAATGTCTCATTATGCTTTCAAATACATGAAGGGATTACAGACCACATAGCAACCTGTGAGAAAACTGCCCTTGTATCTTTCCCTTATTGTTAGAGGTGTGGCGAAATCAGCCAGCGTCTCACACTTGGTAAAATGAAGATGAGGCTTGGATCCTCATCTTCTATCTCCAAGTCCAGAAGTTGTTATCATTTAACATCAAAGCAGTATTTAGGTCGTATACACACATCAGCATTTTAAGGTTGAAAAATCCATCCCTACATAGAAGTCAGTTAGTTTGCAGGAGAAATCTTCACCCCTCAGATTGTGGGACTCCCCCAGGGAACCTCTCCTTAGAGAATCTGGGTGCTGACTAGGAGCTTGGAGTCCATCATCAGTGGGAAGACACTAACCTCGACACATGAAAAGATCGCCATGTTAATTTTCTGTGAAGTTGAGACTCACGTGCAGGTTGTAATAACACACACACTACCATGTACAGATAATTTCTTCTCACTTTCTTTTTAAATATATTTTTATTGTTGACAGTATTACAGATATCTCCAGTTTTGTTGCCCTGCCCCACTTCCCAGTCCCTACCCACCACCGAGCTCTTCACTACCCTATTGCCCATGTCTATGGCCTTTTTTGCATTGAGTTGACAGAGTAATTTGAGTTAACGAGCTCCTTCACGAGCTCGGTCTCGGGACGAATTAAACTCGTAAGTCAAGGCCCCACTGTATATGTATATAAGTTCTTTGGTTTAGCTCTTCTCGTCCCGCCCACCCCAACCCCACTTCAAGGTATGTCAGTCTGTTCCATGCAGCTGTAAAAAAGAGGGACCTCTTACCCTTTGGGACAGCATGGATGGACCTAGAAAATATTATGCTAAGTGAAATAAGCCAAACTGAGAAAGACAATTTCTTCCGAAAGGAACCAGATATTTTAGAGTTTTCATAATCTCGTGTACTCGTTTTGTTGAGACTTCATCTAGAATTACTAATTATTTCCTCTTTAGCCGAACACCAGTCCCAGAATACAGGAAACCTTAACTAGACTAGATTCTTTGCAATAATACAGAAAATGCTAGAGGTCTTCAGTATGGCATTCCCAAGGCATTATTTAGAATTCAGCAGTCCTGGGCTCTAGTCCACCTTCCCTTGGTGAAAGTACAGATAATGACAACGATGATGAAGATGCTGCTGCTAGTAATACCAGCTAACCCCCACCGAGCACTTCCTAAGTCCCATGGACTGCCCTGGGCACTTGACTTCTAGGAACTTCTTGAATCTTCACAAGACTCCAGTGAGGAGAGTGCCCTCATCCCTAGTTGCGGTGACAGACCCGGAGGTCCCACTCACTGAGACCACAGAGCCGGCGGTGGGGCTTGGTGCCCACAAGGCAGTCGGCTCCAGGGCGTCTGCTCTTAGCCACACTGCAGCTTTCTGTCCCTACAAATGTAATCTCTGCAAATTTGAGCACCTAATGCGATAATGGATGTGCAAATGCTTAGAAAAATATAAGTTGCTCTATAAATGTTAGTTA